TCATCCTTCTGCTCATTCATGTTTATGTTTGAATAAATCTAAACAAATGATGGAAATGGAGCATCTGGTACTTGAGGTAGCGTGTATCTTCCAGCTGTGCTTGATCCTCAAAACACAATATGTTTCTCAATAGTAATAGCTTAATAATTACAATCCTGTTTAGTTAAAACAGCTAAAACTGCATGTTGATTTAATACAACTAAAGCAAATAGGATCTTATCATCCCTTATGTAGACTAAGAACATTTTGTACTTGGAGAGTTATGCTTGCAGTAAAAGAAAAACATCGCTTTTGAAGTGATAATATGTTTTTGATATTTTCATGCTGTTTGAGAAAAAGGATGCATTGTGTAATGGCAGAATAAAAAAACACTATGTTCTTTATCCAGAGAAATTGCATTTATTTAAAGTTTAAGTGTATATTCATAGAAAAAGTCTTTTCTCCACAATTGTTGAGGCCTCCTTTTTATCTCAATAAGGATTTTAAATTAAATTATTGTATTTTCAGTGGAAAAGGCAATAAAGCACAGTTTAAGTTGATGTGTATACTTTTGAACTATATTAGTTAATATCATGCACTATAACCTAGCAGCTTCAACTGGAGTTCTCTTTAGGTGAAAATTCCCAGGCCAACCTACACAAAATAAGTCTCTTCCCATATTGCTGAGTATGAACATATTAGTAAATAAATCTCTAAGTGACTACGTACTAACATTTGTGGATTAGGGTCCTATAATATCTGTCTGAAATGGCAGCATATCATTTATTCAGACAGAATCTAACTATGGTCCCAGCTTGTCTGAAACTCTCTATACAAACAAATCTGGCCATGGACTCAGAGAATTCTACCTACCTCTTCCACCACGTGCCTGAATAAAAAGTATAAGCATAGAAAAGCTTTTTCTAAATTGATGGTCAGATGAGCCCTAAGATATTCCAAAACATTCCTTATTGTTCTCTTTGTTTGAAGGTATACATCCTTTTGCTGAAGGTATAATCTACATTGGAAACAAGATGTGTGTGAATCAAACTGGAACATTCCTAGGACCCTTCTTTCTTAGGACAAGATATCACAGTATCTGCTAGAGCTATGCAAGTTGCCAAGGGAGAACAGTCGTTTCTAACTGTGATGTTTAGAAACTAGAAAATATACACAAATCACGAAGATATTCTAAAATGTACTGTAGAAGTGGTTATATCCTGGCAGTAACCAACAGTATTGACTTGAACTTTAGACCTACAAAATTGCAGGGAATTCATGATTGGTACTTTAGGCAACTTCTTATGGCAAGTTATTCCATGCAATCTAAAGAAAAATATATTCCTGCCTCTTTCCTAATTGATTTATTATTTCTCAATGCATTCTAAAAGCTTATTCTTGCAGATCCCTGTAGCTTTGCTCCTCATTGATGAAACGTTATTTTTTTCTCAGCAAATGGAGATCATTTCAGAAAAGTCCAGTCATTCGAAGTGTGAAGAAGAAAGGTTTCTGGGGTCATGTATCCCCAACTAATAATAAATGTATGCCCAAAGCCCTAAACCCAAGGTTTAAGGCAGAAACGTGGGCTGAATGATGATAAGAAACCAGAGGGCCAGGACATCTGCTGTAAGACAGTCTTGTCTTATAACAGAAATAAGGACGTAAAAGTTGAGGATCAAAGTGGAAAGTGAAGAGAGGAGAGAATGAATCTGGGAAGAGTTGGGGTAAATACGATCGAAATACATTGTGTGAAATTTTAAAGGACTTAAAATTATCAAAATATGTTGGTTATATAAAATTATATTACATATTTTAAAAAGTCTCTGAGTTTGACTAATTATTCTTGGAGAAAAGCAAAATTCCATTAGATCAATTCCCATAAACATGTGGGTATAAAACTAAAACAATAAATAAAAATCATTAATTCATCATTCTGAAAAGAATTATTATGCACTATCCTACACAGACTTAGCAAATCTTCTAAAAAAAAAAAACCACCTATGTTGTTCGCAATTGCATGTCAGTATCCTCTGTAGTCTTTCACAAACTCGCTTGTACAAGGGGCACGGGATCAACTTCCATCTGTCAGAGACACTTCTGATATACATTAAACACTAGGCTTCATATTAGTTAATTCTTGTTACAAAAAATTTGCCGGGCTGTGTCCTGTGTGACTTCCTTTCTGGTCATATGTGTCTGAAGCCAGGCCTGGACTCACGAGGTGATTTTTATCCCATATCCTACAACCTTTAAGCCAATATTTGATAAGTTTTTATGCTAATGAGCTGTATTCAAATGAGCAATTGCCTTTGATTGCTTGGTGATTCCTACCACGTGGAGACAGACCCTCCATAGCAGATACCAGATATCCCCCATATCAGATATTTACATTAGAATTCATAGCAGTAGCAAAATTACAGTTATGAAGTAGCAACAAAATAATTTTATGATTAGGGGTATTCACAACATGACAAACTGTACCAAAGGGTCGCATCATTAAAAAGATTGTGAACCACTGCCTTAGTGATCATTCTAATGTGTACCTTATGATCTTCTGCCACTCGTGCTTATAATCCAGTGGAAATCAGTTTAGGCATACTGAACAAAGCACAAATTCAGAAATGTGACAGAGGAGCCAATGAATGGACAATGAAGGCCTGTTGGCTTCGGGAAATCAGTCCTTCCTTAGGGACTCAGGGTGAACAAATGTATGATATTCCCTGAACATATCTATTGCTAGATGAAGCAACAGCTTCCTGTGAGGACCACCTGTACAACACACACACTGTCTTCTGTATCCTGGCTCTTCCCAGTTTATCACCCTTAGACATCACTTAAGATCGCTTCACAGACAAAAGTATCTTCCTATGTGTATGAATAAATCTGTCGTTACCAACAACTCCACAAAATCTGGCAAATTTCATTTGAAAAGAAGATGAAACAGTAAGAACAAAGCAGCTACCTCCATATCTGTACACACCAGAAATCAGGTGCACATGGGTGTGCTTATTTTTATTTTATTAAGGTCAAATATCTAGAAGTACAGCTTTTTTCAATTTTTTTATTCATTCTTTTTGAATTTCACATCATGCACACTAAACCCACTTGTCTCCCTCTTCCTTCATTCCTGCCCTCCATAAATGCAGCCTGCACAACATCAGAGAAAAAAAAAATCTTGTGAAAGCTGTAATGTGTCACAGTGTATCCCATAAGTTTTGTTTCGTCCACACTTCTTTGCTTGCAAATGTTTATTGCAATGATGCCATTGGTCTGGTTTGAGGCCTCTGGCTTCTGCTACTCTATCAGTACTGGGTCCTCACTGGGACTCCTCAGATATCCTGTTCTTTCCCTGTGCCTCCGAGAACCTTTCGTTTTGGATCTGTAGGATCAGACGCTTCATTCATTCCAGCCATTCATTGATAGGTTAGATGATGAGTGGGCCGATTGAAAGCAGTAAATCTGGGCCTGAGAGGAATCAGAGAAAATCAGCTCTCCAGCTCTCTCACCCTCGGGCCTGTCTCACCAGCAAACCCCCTGTACCAGAACCACCTCTATCCTGATGCCCGAGCAAGGTGCAATCCTTGCTTTCCTCAGTGCTGCATCCAGTGAAGAGCATCGCCACTTCTCCCACTCATAATCCTGGGGAGCAGTCTTCCCGGGTGCCACAGATGGTGAAGGGCAAGGGAAGAAAAGTGGATGTCTCTCCTTCATTTGTGCCATGCTCAGCAAACAAGAGGCAGGGCCAAGTCTACTCTGCGGTCCAGGAAAGATGCAGGACCTGCTCCTGAGAGCTGCAACATGTGGTGGGCAGGACAAGATCTCCTGCTCTTATGACTGCATCCGAGCCAACTCAACTACTTGCCTCCTTTTGTGTAGAGGACAAAATGAAAAGGAGCGAGTTTCTTCCTGCCAGCGCTACCACACAGCAGACAGGAAACAGGGCTGGCTCTCACACACTCACCTCTTTAAGTCCAGTTCACCCATAACCCTCACATCTAGGAACAGCTCCATTTTTGCTTAGCAGGTGAGGTGCGGAGCCTGCAATCAGTGAAGAACAAAAGATCTCTCCTGCTCTTGTGACGCCAGGGCCAGGTCTCCTGCCTGATGCAGGTGGTGAGGGGTGAGGCTAGTATCTCTCTTCCTTGTCCATGCCACCACAGGGAGTTGAGTGGTAGAGGTAGCTCCCCAGTGCTGTTTGGGCTAACTAATCCACAATTCCACCAGTGTGCTCTCCCAAGCTCTACTGTCACTGACTAACTGGCAGGATCAGTTTTTGGGCTCTCATTCTATAGGGCAAGTACTTGAATGATGTCTAGGTGCGTGGTAGGGTCTCTTCTGTACAGCCCTCGGAAGTCAATATGTCCTCAGTGGCTAGGGAGTCTACCTGGACTTTGGTGATAATAGACCCCTGCTTCTGCATAGCCACAGACCCATATGTGGTCCCCATTGTCAGCACAGACAAGGACTCCACTATTTTCCCAGGTGGCATTAGCAGGTACTCAAAGTAGGCTTTTCTTCACTACCCAAGAGCCTCTAGTTTTGTATCTTTTTGTTGTTCCCACATCCTTCTCTTTCTCTTTCTCTTTCATTTATCCACCACTTCCTTCCACCTCTTAGTGGTGCCGGGGGTCTCTGAGTGTCTGGGTTCTCTCAGGAGGACTAATCCCAGGAATGCTATGCCTAGCTCGTGCATTATGGTGCCACCAGTGTTGTGGCTTCCCAAGCATGGTCGGATCCACCCCCCACAAGTCTGAGGGTCACCAGAGTGGTGTTCATCTCAGGCTAGCTCCCTGCCTATGCCTCTTGGCACCAGTAGGGTTTTTGTTTCAAGCTCACTCCTCTACTAGCCCACTCAAGTGGCCATCTGTCTTGGGCTTACTGCTGCCTAAAGCCTGTGGTTCCAGGCAGGCTTGCTTCCTGTCCTGTAGCGAGCCTATCCTGACCTACCTGGACTGGAATGGTGGTCGTCTCAGGCTAGGTCCCTGTCCAAGCCCTCTTGTCACTGCCTCACATATTCAGCGAATGTTAGGCTACTGATCATTCAGATGTTCCTGGGTCAAAACACTGAGCATAATCATAGCCTCTCCTCTCTTCCACCTATTGAAACACATGTGACACAGCAGCCACACCCGCAACACCCCAAGGGCCAGGAGAAGCTAGTACAGTTCTTGCTACTACAAAGAAATTCAATTCTATTTCAATAGTGAATTTAATCAGATATAGGTAGAGTCTGTCTTAAAACTACAATAGTCACCTTCTTATTTTACCTTTGCATATTAACATGTAGAGGGATAGAGGAACTACATATCTGGTACAAGGGGATTCATTTTTCCCAGGGCAGAGGAAAACATTAGTGTTTATTCCAAGTAGCCTCTCTCATCCTAGGTCTATTGTTGCACATGTCTCTTTGGATGATATTCGGTATGTGTATATGTCTCTACTCATTAGCATTAAGATTTCTGTTTAAACCTTTCATGAGATGCAATGGTTTTTTGATCTCTGCTTGGCCTCAACTACAAGAAATTGAAGGGCAGAGAAATTTGGCTTTAACTTTGTGATTGTTTGTGGGATGTGATGATTATTATTCTCCTACACCGTGGAGTGGTAGTGTGTCATGAAATGAATTTTTTTACAATGTGTCATGAAAGGAACTTTTTAAAATAGCGTACAATTAGCAAGATTACTGAGTCACTTTACTATTGGTTCATTGCATGTATTATATATTCCTGATTCATTCACAAAGAATATATTTAGTATAAACGAGATAAGGACCATGTTTTCAGAAATCATAATTTCAAACTTTATGTTTCTCTTTTCTATCTTGTTCCTCGGTGACTTCTTTGTCAAAACTGCACTGTGTTAACAATTCAGAAACAAAATAAAACAAGGGAAAACAAACCAAAAACCTCCACAAAATAAAATCTTTCTCATTATTTAAAGCATAAATTTGTGGATTAGAGGTCTTCACTACTGCATTTGAACACAGAAACCAAATCTCTTAAAGACGTAAAACATTTTCTCTCTACAGAACTAACCATGCCTTCAGGCGTTTCTATAATAAAACTGAGAGCAATCAGCCTGGAATGGAGATTGCGCCTGGAGAACACATAATCAGTATAATCAAATTATTATCCTGTCAAGAAAGAAATGTGTCCTTACAAAACCCAGCATCTAGGAATACCCAGCAGGCTTCTAGTGACTGTTCAACTTAAAGTTAGTATTGAATGACAGTTTCTCAGATTTGTACATAGGAAGGGAACAACTCAAAGATGGGATTTGAAAACAGAAAACATTCCTTATTGAGTGGTGAGAAAGAAAGAGACAATCTTTGGTATAACAAGTGCAGGACTGATAAGGAGAAAAAGGAACTCAACTTCAGGCTGGATTTCACTGGAAGGAACTAGCACACTGTTTTCCAGCAGTCTTGTCTACCATGTGTGGACATTGATTCATTTCTACCCTTTGCACCTTTAAAACAATCTGGATTTTTGTCAATATGTTACTACTCAAAAGTCATAAGTATTGACTTACTATTCTTTAGTTTTATGATCCTTATTATTAAATTAGAACTTTGAAAATAATACAAACATTACACACAAAAGCCAAACCCAATAGTAAGTCATATATTTATGAATTTATTTATATTAGCACTAATAAGTTCTTTAGTATTGTCTCAGCCCCCACTGACAATATTTTGAAAATAAATGTTGACATTTAATGATTATAAATCGAGCTTGAGACACGACTTGGTGTCTAAGAGCAATTGCTGCTCTTGCAGAAGAAATTAGTTGGTTCCCAGCAACCAATTGGTGAACCTCAACCCCAATACCACAACCCCAGTTTCAGAGGGAGAATTCTTCCTGGCCTCGTCAGGTACCAGGCATGTACATGATGTGTGTGTGTGTGTGTGTGTGTGTGTGTGTGTGTGTGTATGTGTGTAGGAGCAATGTTCATACACAGAATAGATAATCATTTAAAAATAATTATAAAAGATGTGAACACTGATATCATGAGAAAAACATTGTTTAACTTCCTGTTTTTAAAATAAAAGTTTTTAAAATAAAAGCTGAATTTAGTTGAGAGAAATACAAGATTTTTCACTTTCATAATCTCACATACCTCAACCATCGTCCCTTTCCATGTTCCTTTTTAACATAACATCTGTAATTTTAGTTTTACAGCACTGTCATTATGCTTAGCTTATGTTAGCCTGTCATTATGCTGGCAGATAAGTACTTAATTAGTATGACTTCTAATCGTTACAACCATGCTTTGACACAAAAACAATATTACACCTATGAGATGCATATTAAAATCCAAATATTTGTGACTAGTATATCTGTTATTCTACCTCAGGATCATGGTTTTATGAAATCAGCATCATTAAATTTTTTCTCTATTCACTATAGCAATGAGTTGGAACTGCTAAAATTGTCAATCTGTGGAAAATTAAATGTATGGACACACACACACACACATGAATAATATATAGTATTTAACAGCTATAAAACAGAATTTAAAAATTGTCAGAAGACTGGGTTGTCTAAGAATGTGTTCTATTAAGTAAGGTCATACAATCTCAGAAAAAAATGCTTGTTCTCTCCAATATGTAGAACCTAGTCATAAATATATGTATGTTTGTAGCAAAAGAACATATGGATACATAAAAAATATGAATAAAGGTAGAGGAGAAAGACTATACCTGAAGAAATGAGGAAGGACTGACAAAGGTAATGGACATGAGCTGTGGTACAAAATACAAAGCTAATTCAATTTCTAAATCTAATTCTGTCATTTTGGTATGTGTGTGTGTTTTGTTGTAGATTCATAAAACTATTGAATATCAAAAGTATAAAAGTTAATGTATAATTTCAAATACCTATTCTAAGTGTATAAAATTTCATTGGGTTGTATACATATTGGGTTTTGCTTTTTTGTCTGATGCTAGCATTATTTGCAAAGTTTTATTTTAATAATAAAGATCATAAATCTAATGTAAGTCTCTAGCTAAAGAAAGAATTACTAGGAGTAAGTCTGGTTAATTTTTATGAATTTATTATATTAGCACTTATTTACATAAACATTTTTATTATGTCATTCATATTCTTATCTATGTAGACAACATAGAACAATGAGAATAAAAACACACACATTGTTTTAAACGAGTGATCATCATATTTTCATAGACAGTAAATACTTGGTGATCTATCTTACTACTATTGAAACCTTTTAGCAATCACTGTACAAAACTGTGTACAAATGTATAGAGAGATATTTGCAGTCAAGATGCTATCTTATAAACTTGAGTCAATAGTTAGGGCCTCACCAAGTCTATAAAACTATTGGCAAATACAATAAATATGCTATAGTCTTTGTAGAAATGCAATCTTTTACAGGACATATTCTTTTAGGAGAATTAAGAATTCCTCTGTGGCACCTAGGAAAGAATACCTTGGTATGACTGTACATTTTTTCCACTTTTCTTAACTCTAGCTGTTTGTGCTGCTAGTGATGACTCATACCAAAAATTCTGTCCATGGCCCTTTTTGTGAAAGGGAAGTTGATGGTACAGAACTCTGTAGAAATCCATAAGAAATTTATAATTCTATTCTCTCTGAAATATAAAACTATATTTTAAGTTATGGATTCAATTTTGATAATGGCTGCTTCTATAAATATATTCTATACATAATTACCAAATTTAGATGATAGAGGAACATTTTAGTTAGATCTGACATAAAAACTGATCTGACAAAACAGAAAAACATTGATTGGAGAAAGTAAGTGTGGGTTAGGGCAGAGACTGAAAACCAATGGTCACACTGAAATGGAGTCATTAATGGCTTACACATCACTTCATAGCTCACCAAACTTCAAAGTCAAAGTTTGAAACTTTTCTATTCTAAACTTGAATAGGGTGCTTTGTCATGTTTGTGTTTAATAGTATATTTTATACATTCACTTTGGACCAAAATAAATATATACTGTATATAAAGGGGAAGGAAACTATTATGTAACATACTTGTTGTCTATCACATTTTGGGTATTTATTTAATGTTTCAATCAATATCCACTAGGCCTTCTCTATTGTGATTTATTTATGGGAGGGACACTTGAATTTATTATAACTATTATATATATCCAATTAAATGAAATCTAATATCATAAATATTATTCTTGTAATTTTAGCATTACTAGGGGTAGAGTAAGGCTAGTGATAGGCACATCTACTCACATGTATGAGCTCTGAGAGTTTATCTTTGGTCAGGTGATCATGACCTTTACTTGCATAAGAATATCAAGAAGGATTTTTAAAAAAAATACACATCTTGAACTTTTTCATTTTAAATAGATTTAAAGATTATGGTTATTTTATGGATTTAAAACAGCATTTATAACTCATTCCATTCAACTATAATCTTTTTACTCTTAGGTATCAATTTTATTTATTTGAATTCTCATTATATTTCACTGATTCACAAAGGACAAATACTTAACACATAACTATGGAAAGGTCAATAAAGGGCTTCATATTTTCACATATGAGTGTTTAATGAACTCTTTAATGAGGTACAAGTTAATTTTAAAAAAGATCTAGAAAAGAAGTGAAATGCTTAATTTATTTTCAACTTTGCCCTTTATATAACTGAGGAATCTAAATTTTCCATGAAATGTTGATTTTCCTCCACAGATACTTTTTTTTATTTATAGAAACATATATAAAATAGGATGTTTTCTTTGTAAAATACAACTAACTTCCAATGCAATTCTACTTTTTTCAAAATTATAAATAAAGTAAATTCTTTCATTTCAGTTAATATGCTTTTTGTAATTAGACATCATACTCTTATATTTTTAAATATCTTCAATCAGTTATTTTTATAAAACTAATCCATTAAGTCAAAAATTTCCATGAATACTTTAATCAAAGCTATTTTTGAAAAGAATAAAAATTTCCATTTTCTTTTCTTACATATACGCCTTATACTTTAACAATGCTATGGAGACAAAGTGTAGAGCAGAGACTGAAAGAGGTGCTGTCCGAAGACTGTCTCACTGGGTATTCATCCTCTCTGCATTCTGCAGTCACCAAAGGCAGACACTGATGTGGATGCCGGGAAGTGCATGCTAACAGAAGCTTGATATAGTTG